AAAAAAAAAAAAAAAAAAAAAAAAAATGGCTAATAAAGATGACAGATAATAAAGACGACGATGTAACTTACAACCAAAAAAGAAAAAAATGAGAAAGAAAAAACAATGCAAATCATTTGGTATTTTATTTGTTGTTTTCAGAGAACTGACAATTGGCAAAAGCCGAGTGTCAAAAAAAAAATGACAGAACAACAGAAAAAGCAAACAAAACGATAATAAGAAGCCAAATATCGGTCATCCAAATGACCATTTACTGGTATATTTTACTGTTACATCACCACAACAAAGTATTACAAAATCAATTAAATTCCACACTTTTTTTTTTTCACCAATTTTTCTTCCTTCCTCTTCCGCTTTTAACTTATTTATTGTTTTTTGTCCCATTATTACCGTTATTGTAACACACAAATTCACACACACACACACACACATTCTCAAAATAAAAAAACAAGAAAATTTGAATATTAAATTTTTTGCTACAGTATATGTTGTTTTTTTCCTTTTTGCAAAAAAAAAACCCTTTAACATACAAAGAAATTGCAAAAAAAAAAAAAAAAAATTAAGTGAAAGAGAGAATCGAAGATAGAAAGACAGTTGGAACAAACTGTGTTAAAAAATTTTTTATTTTTTCTTTTTTCTTCAAAATATTATTTCAATTTACAAAAAATAAAAAAAACAAAAAATAAGCAAAAAATTCTGCTACTTAACCTTTAAAAAAAAAAAAAAATGAATAAATGGATGTATAAATGAATAAATGAATGAATAAATGAATAAATGAATGAATGAATAGATGTATGAAGAAATAAATGAATAAATGGATGAATGAATGAATGAATGAATGAATGAATAAATGAATGAATGAATGAATGAACAAATGAATGATGAATGGATGGATGAATGAATGAATGAGTGAATGAATGAATGAATGAGTAAATAAATGAATGATTGAATATTGAGTGATTAAATAAAATTGATCAAATTGATGGAATTAATTGAAAAATAAATTGATAACATCAACTTATATTATTTTGCCTCTGTTTTTTCTTATAGAGGAGAGAAGAGATGAGTGAGAAAAACAAATTTCCATCAAATCTGAGACTGTTTCATTTAAAAACATTGTTTTTCTAATTTTTTCCCACTTTTTTCCTTTTCACAGACGAATTACTACCTATAAAGGTTGTAAAACAACAGCATTCTTCATTTCTGGAGCATAACTTGGTGGAACAAATGGATCAGCTAAGGGTGCCGAGTCATCAAAATACGTCTGCTGAAATGTTTGTGCCATCAGATACGGCGGCGCTTGTGGCATATACTGCGGTGGTGGTGGTGCCATCTGTGGTCCTCCCTGTCCCTGCGGTCCACCGTCCGGTGGTGGAGGTCCCATCATAGTCGATGGCTGCTGGTTTAGATTCGGTCCACTAGCTGACGATATTGGTATCATGGTACCTGGATGCGGTATTAATAGATGCGACGGATGCGGCGCCATCTGTGGTGGTACTAAACGCAGATGTGGCTGTGGCATTGGTGGTCCGCCTGGATACATCGACGCTACTGGACGAGGTGGTCCCGGATCGGCATTCATTACCTGTGGTGGCTGCGGTGGCATTGCCATCATGCGCTGTTGATTTAGATGCTCCATACCAGGCGGCACACGTCGTTTCATCATCTGATAATCCTGTGGTATCGACTGGTCATAAGATCGTTTATGCGCCTAAAAACAAAATAGTACAGTGTATGTATACATAGCTAAAAGAAAATGTTATTTTTTTTACTATTTTTGAAAAAATACTGTGAAAAAGTTCATTGATTGAAAACTTCATAAATTCTAATTTCAGTCTTTTGTGTCGTTTCTCAAATTTTATCCTGTAAAAAGTTTGGCGAAGCTGTGTGCGCGTATGTGTGTGTGTGTGTATGTTTCGGTGCATTTGTGTCATCTGTAAGTTAGACACATTGAATAGTAAAAAAATTGGTGAACATTGTTGATGTCATTTATAGGCTGTTTAATTGAAGGCTTATAACTAAAAAAATTTAAACAAAAGAAAAAAACCACTCGGATACTGTAGTAAATATATTTCTTGCTCATTTTCACACTTTTACAGCAACAATAATTAAATCAACAATAGCCGAAAAAAAAAAAAAACAGAAACAATTCTGTTTAATCGTTATCAAAAACAAAAGGAAAAAAAAAACGATGAAAAAAAAAAGATAAACATATTTTTATTTCTTTCAAAACTTTTTTTTTCTGCCTACAGATTACAATCATCACATAATATGAATAAAAGCATGATTTATTTTCGTATGCATCTGGTTGATATATTAAATATTTATATGTAACGAAAAGATTCAATGACACATACAAATCTGCTGTATCTGTATGTTGTCTTTGCTCAAGTTTTGCTGTTACCGTCTCTGTCTGTGTGTTTTTGTGCTTCTCTCTCAGTTTTGCTTCGACAGAAACGATCATTTAGAAGGATGAAGATAGAAGGTGCGGAAGTGAATGAAATGGAAGATCTGAAAGATATGAGAGCGAGGAGATGGTGGGAAAGGAGTCTGGTGCTATAGGAGATGTGGAAAGACGGATGGGGATTGTCGTATTAGAAGGGAAACAACAAATCTTTCAATTGTTGTCAAAATGACCGTATTTTTTTTTCTTTTGCAAATATAAACCAAAAAAATTGTCAGTAACTCAAATTTT